AAAATTTTTTTTTTGCAGTTTCTGGCCTGGGCCAGGTTATAAACCCACCACCTCTGGTATATGGGGCCAGTGCCCTACTCCTTGAGCCACAGGCGCCACCCCTATGTTAAATATTTTTATCTAAAGCACAAATTAATGGATTCTTTGTGTGGTTATCCCACAATACTATACCAAATGAATTTTTAATTTTTTTAATTAAGTCATTTGTACATAGATCATAAATACATTTATGCCATAAAGTTTATTTGGTTATTAATGTTTTTATGTAGTCAAAAATGTTGCAGTAGATACAGTTACATATTAATCTTTGAAAAATTCTGATTATAATTTTAGATTATAAATGATCAAAAACTTTCTTTAATTTGATCTCCATTAAAAAGTTTTTAATTTGATCTCTATTAAATGGGTTTTACCATTTTACTGGAACCAGCAGTTCCATCTGCTGACAATGTAAAATAAGTCTATTTCAGTATATTTTTGCCAATTTTGAACACTATCAGTTATTTATCCTTTGCTGATTTGCAAGAAAAATTTTAAAAGATGTCTCATCACTGGGCTAAGTTATATTTTTCTTGCAGAGTAGTTTAAGAACCTATTTATTAGAGTTGTTCAACTCTAAAATTGTGATCATACTCTAAGTAAATTTGGACAATTTAGTTGACCTTTTTATATCCTATTCCCTCATTGATAAAGCAGGTTTTATAATAATACTCACCCCTTACAACAGCTATAATGTTTAAATGATTTAATTTAGCACAGGGCACAGCATGTGCTAAACTGAAAACAATGAAATGATCTTGGTGTTGCTACTCGAGTCACTGCGTCCCTAAAATTGACATGTCTCTTTATATTAACTGAATATGTTTATTTATTTGTCTGGAATTACATGTTTGTTTTTAAGACATTTCACAATTATGGGAATTTTATTTTTCATCGCTTTGTTAAAGTTCTTTACTTTTAAGTTGTATTAACCTTTCTTAGTGTAATATTTGGTACAAATATATTGTCTGTCTATTTTTATTTTTTTAATATGTCACGATATTTTCTGAACTTTAGAATTTTCCAGTTTTCTTCAGTGAAATTGAGTGCATTTTCCTCTGTTGAGTATGGGTTGCTTGTATACTTACAAAGGTTTTTGCCATACTAAGATAAAGATTAAAGGATTGTGTGTGTTAAGAATATTAGGAGATAGCAAGATGCCATCACTTAGAATCTTTGTAGTTACCATTAAAATTTCTTTAGGAAACCTCCAAATACATTCAATTCTATAATATTATTATACTGAAAACAATCAAAATATCAATCAAAATATACATCATCTATTGAATAGTAAAATTCAAGAATGTGATGATGCCAAATGTCAAAGGATATTCTGTGAAAGACTCATAGTGAGTAAAAATGTACATTAAAACTATGTGACATTTCTGTGTTAAACTGTTTAAGAAGACAAGTTTACCTTTAGTTTCTGTAATTCAAAATGATTCCATGATTCCTATCAGCATGTCTGTAAAGCCTTAGAACACACAAAAAAAATTGTAAATTTCTGTTTTGGAAATTGGTGCTTTAGTTTCTTTCTCTAAGAACATGCATTAAAATAAATTTTTATTGTTTTTGAATGATTAATTTTCATTTTGCAGAGCAGATTTCTAAAACAATAAATGCTCCATGGTGCATTTTAATTTTTTTCTTCATGTATATTAATCACCTAGGAAATATGTTTCTTTCCAATTACTAGTTTTAGATTCAACTCCAGAGTTACATTTCAAAAAATACTACAAGAGAACTCAAGAGGCTGCTGAGTCTTGACCATTGTTGTTTCAGAATCATGATCCTACCTTGACCTTTAAATCTTTGCATTTTAGTTTGGCCTCAAGATGCTGCATAGAAACCAGTATTGATTTTAATTTTAATAGATATAATAAAAATTTTAAAAGAAAATAAGAATGTTTCTCTTTTATAATGTGTTTAATAAAATGATGGTGATTATTAAGTAGCATTCTATGTGAATACTATTTTCTGAATACTACTGCCCAAAGTTATAAAGTTCAGATGAGGTCATTATTATTTGGAAAGAACTTGGCTCTGTCTCTGTTAATCACAAACTCTTCCCAGGATTACTGTTGGACAGTTATTATAGTAATGATCTGTATCTACATAAATCTAAGTTAATTAGGTATATAGCAGATGGCAATGAAATAATCATGGTAACATTAAAGCATTAGCATGTTTATCTAGAAAAAATTAACTACTTTGTAGCTAACAAAAAAAGATTGGCCAGATATTTTTACATGCTTTCTATGCAAGTATTTTTCTAAGTGTCATACATGTTATATATGTAACTGATTTAAACTTCACTATAATTCCATGAGCGAGTAGTCACGTCATCTCCGATTAACAAATGAGGAAAATGAAATGAACAGGAATTAGGTAGCAGGTGTGAGTAAATAGCTGGTAAATAACTAGGATGAAAGAGGTAAGTTTGAATTTAGGCTGAACGATTCCAAGATTCATATTCTTAACCACTTACTATCCTGACTGCGAGAAAGAAAAACCATCATAGGGCAGTGCCTATGGCTCAAGGGAATATGGCGCCGGCTCCATATGCCAGAGGTGGCAGGTTCAAACCCAGCCCCAGCCAAAAACTGCAAAAAAGAAAAACCATCACCTTCTTTATTTGGACCAGATCTTCAAATTAACTTGACAGACAACAACTCCAAAGTGAGGCTTAGCACCACCTGTCTTATGCTACACATGTGAATCTAACTTTGAACATAAGATTCAAATATGTAACATGTGCATAGGTAGATTCTTTTAGCATTCTTAAGATATTCTGTATTTCAAAATGTAGAAGAGAAATAAGGCAATTGTTGAGGAATATAGGAAATAAGAGAAGATGGAAAAATCACCTTCCCAAATCTCTTCCCTTACAGTTTCAACTAAGCCCCTGCATTCAGCAAAGCTCAAATTAATACAGTGACTATACAAATTGTGTGTAACTTTTTAAAATTAACTTCAATTTTTATCATCTCCAGTTTCTCTAGTCTCACTTTTATTAAAGTGCCTCAAGTGTATACAAGTTTAGAATGTAAAATAGTCTGCAATTATGTTTGTCATGAACAAATAGCAAATCCCTTATCTGCTCTATAAGTTCCATTTCTCGTTCTCAGTCCTCAGTAGAGAATGACAAAAGGCTTTTACATCTTAACAGACACATCTGAACATATTTTAAAGGTTTTTACTGGGTCCACTGAGTCCTAGATCTTTATAGAATAAAGTTTGTATCCATTGATATGGTACAGAAGAATTTCAGCATACTATACAACTAAATATTTAAAAGAGTAAAAGACTTCTTCTAACTAATATGGAGAAACAGGGACATTATTTACCATTTTCACAAAACATCCAAAGCAAACAAAAAAGGCGTAGAAAAAGTACAAAACTATGATTTTCAGGATACCACACTTCAGACCATGAAGGATATCCTCCCTGAGGGTGAGAAAGACTACATGAGCCCTAGAATTATTCCAGTTTATTACTTGGAGAGATATTTCAGGCTGTAGTGAGATGAAGAGGAACGTGAGACAGAGTCTAGTGCTTCTCTGAGGTTAAAAGAGAGGCTGATACACCTTTTGGGGGCAGGACACAAATAAAAGAGGGTCCTTCTCTAACAAAAGCAATCAATATAACCTGGTTCTGTGTACCCTCTATGAATCCCCAACAATAAAAAAAAAGAGAGAGAGAAGCTGGTAAAATGGAAAGGAAAAGCTGGCAAGAATGTGTGAGGGAAGTGACAGAGAGAGAGAGAAAATATTTGGAAATACAAAGAAAGTTCCGTCAGCTCTTCAGTTAAGTTCTCATGTGTGCATACATAGGAGGTAGCCACAGAGACCAGGGAATAAACAGACTGAGGAATTAGAGGGAACAAAAGGGAGAGTTCACACTGAGCCAGCGACAGTGCCTGTTTCCATCAGGCGGAGTGGAAACTCACAATTCATGAAGCTTTGGGCATAAGGATAAGGTGGTAAGAAGGAGATTGCTTCACAAGTAAGGTGAAATCTACTGTAAAAACCTTCTCTGGTCCTGCCAGAAACAGTCTTCGAAATAAAACAAAAAGGATCAATAACTTGCATGTAAATTAACTGCTTAAGAATATATGTAAATATCAAAATATCCATCCCTAAAAAGGTAAAATTGGAAGTAGCTGACATCCAATACAGAACTGCCTGAGATAAAAATACACAAGAAAATACAATACATGTGAGAAAGAAAACTAATCAATTGAAACTGACCCTGAAAAAAATGAAGATGCTCGATGAAAGACATCACAATAGTTATCCCACACATCGGTAAATTGAACATGTTCAGCAGGGAAATAGAAAATATTGGAAAGATCTAATTTAAACTTCTAGAATTGAGAGCAATGTCTGAGTAAAACATATACTAGATAAAATTGACAATAGTCTAAACATTGGGTAAGGAAAGATTAAAGATATAACAATAGAAACTATTCAAAAATGAATGCAGATAGAAGAAAAAAAGGACTGAGGAAAGTATTAACAGGGCTTAAGTAAGCTGTGGGACCATTTGTAGAAGGCTGATAGAACATGTGAAATTTGAGTCCCGGAAGCATAGGAGATAGAAAAACAATCCATTTTCAAAAAACAATGTTTATTTTTAAAAATTTGATGAAACTGTAAATGAAGAGACCCAAGAATCCACAATGAGCCCCACAAGCAAATCTAGAAAACTGTTCACAACACATCATAATTTACTTGCTTAAATCCAGTGATACAACTTTTTATTTATTTTATTTACATTTATTTATTTATTTTTGAGAAAAAAATCTCACTCTGTGGCCCTGGTAGAGTACTGTGGTGTCATGATAGCTCACAGCAACCTCAAACTTTTGGGCTCAAGCCATCTTCTTGCCTCAATTTTTCTATTTTGGTAGAGACAGAATCTCATTCTTGCTCAGGCTGATCTCGAATTCCTGAGCTCAAGCAATCCACCCACTTCGGCCTCTGAGAGTGCTAAGTTTACAGCCCTGAGCCTGGGCACCTAGGCAGTAAGTAACTTTTTAAATAGAACAAAAGGCAGAGGAAAAAATATAAGACTGACATCACACTTTGTATCAGAAAACTTGGAATTGGAAAATAGAAAGGTTAAATGCGTGTGTTGTACAATATACTGGTAAAAGTGCTTCGTGAAGTTGAAAACGCAGGGCGGGGCTGCCTGTGGCCTCCTGAAGGAGAGAGAACAAAATAGAGGGTCAGGTGGGCCCCTCCCGGCAGCTCCTTTCCCATCTCTCATCACCACTTCCCTCCAAGAGCCCCTGTTGCTTCCCTTCACTTCCATCTGTGACCTGCGTAGGATACTCACCAAAGAGAACTCAGGGCCAGCTCAGAGTGCACGACTTCTCTATTCAAAAGCACTTAAAAAGGTTTCCTAACTTACTTTTAAAATTTTAGAAGATGTACCAGGTGACCACCAGGGCCCATGGGATCCCCTTCCTCCCCACTTCATTGGAATCTGTCTCTGTCCCTCCTCCCTGCAGTTCTCATGAGGTCCCACGGTCTCACTGCAGCTCCTTAAACCCGGTTAGCACATTTCTGTCCCTGGGCCTCTGCTTTATTCTGTGTGGGGACATTTTTCCTGAGTAAGAACTACACATCACACGGTTTGGTTCACTCCCTACTGTCCCCATTCTTTGTTCTGATTCCATCATTTTAAAGAAACCTTTCCGAACAATCTCTATGTAGCTGTGCAACACCCGTCACTGTGTGCTCCTCTTAGCCTCCTCTGCTTCACTCCTAACCCATCCATCTCTGATCCGTTCACCTATTGGGAGTCTGTCTCTACTCCCCTGAAAATAAGCTTTCTGAGAATAAGGATTCCTTTTATTTTGTTCACTGGGATGTCTTAAGCACCTAGAATAGAACCTGGAGCAGGGTAAGTGTGGATGGATATCAGTCAAAAAATACAAAGAGGTAGAAATATGTCCAAATGTGGTCAATTATATTGGGTGAATGAGGCACCGGAAACTGTTCAAGGACATATTTATGCAATTTTGTAACTGAAGTGTAAGAAACCAAGGGACTGTGTGGGTAAATACTTGAAGTACTAAGATAAATTCTACTATAAAATATAATGTAAGTGTGTTTCTGAGAAGGGACATTAATAATATACTTATAATGTAGTTTGATATGAAGTTGTTATAATGGAAAAAAGGACTTTATGGCTCTAATCTTAATGTACCAATTCTAAAATAGTTTGACTAAAACCCTAAAATGGTTGAGTGCTAACAGAGGACTCTGAAGGACTTCCTGAGTGGCAACTGACGTCTAAAAGCAGACTCTTGAGTGATCTGTGATCAGCACGGTGGGGATGGTCTGAGGGGCAGAGCCCGAACCAACATAAACTTCACTGCCCAGGACATCGTTATCTTGCCTGGTCACAGTAGCTCTATGCTAGTCATGTGATAGCTGCACGCAGATGTCTAAAGTCCTGCTTTATCCACAATAAGCTCCACTGTTTATTGTATCCACCCCCCCCACCCCCGTGCCTGATACAATATTTGATAACTCAGTGTGTGTGTGTGTGTGTGTGTGTGTGTGTGTGAGGTGGGGGGGAAGAGAGTGAGAGACAGAGTGTTTTGTTTTAGGTTTCAACCCCTATTCACAGAAACCCTGAGAGAGAGAGAGAGGTAGAGACAGACAGAGAGTGAGATGAATCAATATGAGAGGTAATGGAAACATGAGGACAATCCTATTTTAATATCTGCTCTCCTGGGTCTTTCACTGTTGATACATAGCTTGCCTTAGATTTCTGTATCTCCTTGATTGATTGATTGTCTAATTATTTTATTATATAGTTGGAGAAATAAAATTCATATATGTAGAATAAAAAATACCAATTAACTACATCAACAGCGACACTAATTCAGCCATCCAAGCAGTCAGCTGTCACTGGTCACTGGACTTCATCACCACCATTACTCTACCATCTATTTTTCCCATGCACGACAACTCTTGATCTTACTATGTTCAGTTTCCAGGAAAGAGGTAGAAATATCTTGTCATGGATAGTCGTTCAACAGTGGGCATCTGGGCACGAACACTTGGTGTTTCAAATGATTGCTGTACCTGAAAAGAAAAAAAGACGACCTAGATGGCATATGAATCTTTTCAGAAAAGACTTGGCAATATCTTGTTCCATGAACCAGAAATTGCTAGGAGTGAGGGATGCTCCTTGGATGATGGGATAAGTCCACGGATATTCTAACTCCCTTCCAGGGCTACCCTACCTCGTAGAATGGACACTCCATGCCAGACTGTACTTTGTTACTCAAATGCCCCAGGCCTAATCTAAGGCCTTTCAACTTCCATTTCCTCTGTTTTCCTTTCTGACCTATAGATCTGACAATCAATATCCTTTGGGTCTGCTCATGAGAGCTACACAAGGAACCCTCATCACAGCTGATTCCTAAAGGACACTTAAATCCCAGGACCTTGTTTTTAAGGCCTGAACACTGAAACATTCATATCCCCAACACCAACCTGATCTCTGAAACCTTTTGCATGGACTGATTATGATCAGTGAGATCACACGGACCCTAAATCCAGCATTTATGTTTCTAGTCTTTTTTTATTTTAAAACAGAGTCTCATTCTGGTGCCAGGGGTAGAGTGCCATGATGAAAATAGCTCATATGACAGGAACTCCAAGCTCTTGGGCTTAAGAAATCCTCTTGCCTCAGCCTCCCAAGTAGCTAGGACTAAAGTGTCCACTATAATGCCCACCTATTTTTTTTTTTTTTTAGTAGAGACAGGGGTCTCACTCTTGCTCAGGTTGGTCTTAAACTCCTCAGCTCAAGTGATTCACCTGTTTTGGCTTCCCAGAGTGCTAGGATTATAGGCATAAGCCAATACACCCAGCCTCTAGTCTATTTTCAGAGACACTTTTGAAACTATAATGTCTGATTTATATCACTCCAAAAGTACTTAACATCCTCAACCCCTATTCACAGAAACCCTGACTCATGTTACTAAGAGACGTTCTCTAATCTACCAAAGGTGCGTCTCTTTCCACATAGTCTTCCTGTTCTCTACAATTACGAATTTTGAAACAATTACACTTTCCTATGTTCTTTTTTTATTATTATTTTTGTTGTTAAATCATGTTTGTGCACATTAATACTATCATGGGCTACAGTGTGTTGTTTCCATATACAATTTGGAATACTTTCATCCAGTTGGCCAACATAGCCTTCATGTCATTCTCATAGTTGTTGTGTTAAGACATCTATAGCAATCCTATTTCTCTAACAAAAAAGGAGGGGTATGCATGCATTCATTCATGCATCTATTTATTCGGTGAATATTAATTGAATGTCTGCTATGTGCCAGGCATGTTAAGGTGTTGAGAAAATCCCAGCCTTCCAGAAGCTTGCATTTCAGTAAGTTCATGTAAAAAATCAGGCACATAAGTAAAATACATATTGACAGGGTGCTGCTAAGAGCTATGAATGAAAAAAAAATACAAGTAGGAGGAGGAATAAGGAATGTCTCAAGCTTTGGAAGGAGTATTAAGTCTTCCTTTCTAGACCATTCATTCAAATAATGTTATTATTTTAATTATCTTTTACATGCCTTTATGGATCCTCTGATAAGCTATGGTCACATATTTGTTTGTTGATCTATTTTGAAGCATCCACATCTGTCACGATAGCATGAGTCCCAGGTAGGCTGATACACCTGTGCCTCATTTACCCTCTGTCCCAAGGATAGGGCCCAATACGTAACAGATCAACATAATACATATTTATTTAATACATTAAGCAATGAAAGTTAATTCAAAATACTTTCCATGTTTGAATTTTAAGAACTTATAGCCCTTGACTTACAAGCTTATTATACTTTATGTCATTTTCTGCTGTGGTTTCCTGCTGGAATATATTAACATCTTCTTCTCAACCAGATTTTAAACATCTAAATGACATACCAGCTACCATTCTACTTTTGCTTGCCTGACAAAGTCTGTTAATGTCACCTAAAATCTGAATAATGATAGATTCTTCCTGAACAAATATAAGAATGACTAGAAGTAGAAAGAGGAGCTTACCTTTCGAAATATTTCCTCAAGGTGATAGTGCCAGGAGTATTTCTGGAAGCATGTGACGAGCTGTGTGATGAAGAGGGAGCCCTTTGTCCTGTCTCTCCAGGACACATTATCTACAAAAATAGAGGGTGGAGTGCTTTGGACTGTGGTCTGCACTATCTTTTGTGTTTTGCTTTTGTTTCTGTTTGTTTTATTCTTGATTTTCATAAAAAGGAAAGCATAGCTCATAATTATTGTAACACATTTAGGGTAAGAATTTATAATCTGATGTTACTCAGTTTCTACAGAGAGAAATCAATGGCAGAGATTGAACTAAAAGGGCAGCTTGTTAGAATTGCAAGAGATTGCAGAGTGACTGCATTTAGATACGTGGAGCTGACATTGTACTACGTGCCTTCTGTTTATTCACTTGGCTTTAACATTACTGTAATTATCCCACATTACAGAAGAAATAGAAGCTAAGAAAGACAGGGACTTCCCCGCATTCACACAGTGACAAAAATGGCCACCTGGAGCCAACGTCATTTACAAATCACAGCATGCTATCCTTAACAATACAGACAGCAGCAAAATGAATAAAAAGAACCAACATTTTACCTGCAGAAGATGAATAAATCATAAACATGTCTGCACAGAAAAGTGGCAACAGTTAAAAGTAAAGCATTATGTACTTAAATATTTGCTGAGAGGGTAGATGTTAGGTTGTCTTATCACTCTCTCATACATAATTGATAATGAATGGAGAGCAGCAGAAATCTTTCAGAGGGAAGGAGTATGTTTATTGTAGAGATGTGATGATTTGAAGGGTATATACTTATCCTTAAGCTTGTACAATTTTATGTATGTCAGTTATATATCAATGAGGAAGTTTAAATAAATGGCTTAAAATTTTGAAAATTAGAAACAGTTGAATGTAGTGCTCCTTGGATCATTACCCAGAGGTGAAATGTAACCACTGTGGCATCATTAGGCCTAATCAGTTGCACCTTATGACTTCCTATTTCTGTTGAAGGGCCTCCAACTCCTCCTGCGGTGGGCTGTGGTATAGTAGTGGTATTCTACGTACCACTCCATGTAGAATCAGATGGGAAGCATGAGGGAAAGCGCTTATAGTTGATCACTTGAGAAAGAACAGCCTGTCCAGGGATCCACAAAATCTCCACTGAAAATCTTAAATGCATTTAATAAAAAACTGAACCAAACTCTTATGTTTACATAGTGTTTGGTGAATGGGGTTTCTCTTATTGGGTTGCTCTGATATCCGGTATGCGCTTGATTGAGAAATTTAACACTTATAATACAAAAAGAGTGTGTGTGGAGAGGAGAATCTGTCCTTACAACACAGATAAGAAAATGTATAATATATAGACAATACTCAAAATATCTGTCGGATCCTTGAAGGACAAGACCTGTCTTTATTCACAAAAGTCATTCAAAGGCAGCTTCAGGCCCACGAATCCCTGAATGCCACTGAAAGTCACCTACGTGGGGTGGAGGAGCAGAAAGCAATGAAGTCCTTCTCCACGTGGGTCTTGTGAACAGCGTCATCCTCCAGGGTGTCAGGTGACTGTGAAGTACTGTCCACCAAGGCTTCTGGAGAGTCTCTGACCCACACTTCTCCCCGGTTTTCTGTAAAGACATGGAATTTCCACACACCGCTGTGCCTCCCTCAAGGTGACGATCACAACTGCCCACCTGTTGTGTGTTCTAACTCGTTTCACACACGCACTCGACCACGCTGCCTCCTCTTTAATGCCACTGAGTGATGTGACAGTTAGTAGTAACCCCATCATGTAGTTGCCAACCTTTAGCTAAATTATTTTTGGTTTTTATTTAGAGGGACCTTTCCAGTAGCCGTGACATTATGGATGTCAGGGAAAAAAAGAAAAGAAAAGTTTGATAGCAAAGCCCACAAGTCCCTGTTCCCCACACTCACTCCCCTTCAATAACTATGGTGTGTGTGTAGGGGGAAGTCTGCTATTATGTGATGGCCCAAATTTCAAATCTAATTCTCATCAGACCAGATAATTTCAAAATGTCCGTAAAACATGTTCAAGACCAGCTGGCATCAAACGCCATCTACTCTGAGGAGAATTTTTGTTTAACTTTGACTCAGGGATTCTCACTTCCCCTGATTAAATTGTGTGGAAATTTCCCAGCTGACCGGGCGACCCTGCGACAGCTGGCAGT